AGAGAGAGAGAGAGAGAGAGAGAGAGAGAGAGAGAGAGAGAGCGAAAGCGACCGAGGAACTTCCCTGTGCGGGGGCGGCGGCGGCGCCAGGCGAGCACACGTTGCAGACAGTCCGGCGGTGACATTTCTGCAGACACGGAAGGCCTTGCGGTCAGACACACGTGCCCTGGCGGCGGCCCGGCCCTGCCGCTCCGTTTGGGCCCCGCCGCGCCGCCGCCGTGGCCGTGGCCGTGGGCCCGTCCGCGCCGCGCCGGCCGGGGCCCCTCCAGAAAACGAATCGACAGTGAAGGGGCGTTCCCGGCCTGCCTTGTATGGCTTTCCCGAAGCTCACCCGACCAGCCCGGCCGGCCGCCGGGTCGCCGCGCCACGAAGTAGTGCACTCACTCCGGGCGGCCGGCCGGCCCGCCAGAAAGCATAAAAGGAAGCGAGATAACTCGTCCGCAGCCAGAGTGTGAGAAGCACACGCGGGCGAAGCAGGTGAGAGAGATGCGCGCCCTCCTCATCGTGTCGGCCCTCGCGGCCCTGGTGGCCGCCTGCGCCGCGCAGCAAGCCGAGCAGTACCGAGGGTGAGTGTCCGCCGCCTAGTGGGGCTGGTGGTGTCCCACACTGCAAGAAGTGTAAAAGTGGCTTGGGCTACTACTACTACTACTACCACTGTTCGCGAAGAAATTGCCCTTGGGCCTTTCACAAATTACGTAGCTTTTTTTTGTCCCAATTGTTGACCCCACGGTCGCCATCGTCACACCCAGTCGCACGATTTTGACTCACCCCACCCCCCTCTGTGACGTCACATTTTCCCATACAGACTCACCGAATGGCGCGCCTCGTTCGAAAATAGTGATTGTTTTATCATCGCGAGGAAAGGCGCGGAGTTCAGTAGCGGCGTGACGTTACAGGGACCACGACCCCTTCCCCATTCTCCCGTTGTCACAACTGGTCACAGATTCGCCTATCCAACCCCCCTTAAAAGTGTGACGTACTGGCCCCCTACCTCCCCAACTACACCGCGGTGCTCTCCCGTAATTGGATTTGGAGTCTTTCCTCACTCCTTTCGGTGAGCAACAAATGGTTTTCGAAGAGGCTGCTGCGTGCGCTTTGTGCGTTTGACTGCTGCCGACGCTCCCGGCCCCGGTCCTCCCGTTATAACGACCATTCTCATTGTGACGTCAGGTCGGCGTCAGGCGGTGCGGCGGCGGCGGTTTCTGTTGCTATTCCATATCAGCTGAAGAGGCCGGATGCATTTGAAGCGTGTTTTAGCCGACGTACTCACGATGGCGCCGGGCACATTCGCGGAGCAATCGTCACTGAGACGCGCTTCATCCCGATTTTCCAAGTTCTACCGTCAGAATACCAGTCGGCTCCTCTGCCTCTGGCTCCGTGCGCGTGGACCCGTGAAGCTGAGGCACACGGTTGGCGGTTGGCAGGCAACCCAACGCATGGCTGCGTTGCGGATTTGCCTACCCACTCCCCCGTCCGATTCGATGCCCGCACTTTCCCGCTTGCTGCTGTTGGATTATGAACAATGGCGAATGACTCACAATTCTCCTAAGCATATTCATGCGTGTATCTTTTTACATTTAACTGTAGCGACCTGTTAGAACGGGACGCGGCCGGGCGGCCCGCCGGGCCACCTTTGTTGTTTTTCGCGCTCTCTCACTCTTGTAAAGGTCGCCCACAAGCACAAGACCGTCTCTCTCGCTCACATTCACGCAAAAGCGACTAATCAGGCCTTTCTGTTCAGATGGAAGCTGGTGGTGGCGCTGCCGCAGGACGCGGTCCAGGTGGACGCGGTGAGCGCCGTGGGCGCGTGGCGCGACGTGGACATGTTCAACCACCACGTGCTGCCCGGGGGCCAGGTCACGCTCATGATGCCGCCCGGGCGCCTCGCGGCCGCGCAGCGCGTCTTTGACGACAAGGGCGTCGCCTTCCGGGTCACCAACGACGACGTGCAGGAGTACGTGAGCCGCTGTGGGGGAAGGAGTGTTGGGGCGTTTATAACGTCATACGTCGTTCGTCGTTTTTCGAAAATAACAATCACTTGAGCAGGTCCGTGAACGCCGAGGCAGCCGCCCAGCAGAGCTCGCTCCTCGCCCGCGCCGCCAGCGCCGTGCCCACCTACGACCGCTACATGCGGTACGCCGAGGTAAACTCAAATAGCAGAGGTCCAGGTAGAGTCAGGCTGCTTCACTGGCGACCTCTCTAGCTGGAATGCCACTTTTCACACGGTAATAAAAAAAAGTTCCTTGAATTTCAAGACTCGGTCTTGGATGTCAAGGGCATTCTCCCTATGAGCTCGAAGACTGGGTCTTGAAATGCAATAAACTTATTTTTTTACAGAGTGTACTCTCACAACTAACTGCACTTATCCCCCGCAGATCCAGCAGTTCCTGCAGCAGACGGCGGACGCCTACCCACACCTGGCGACGCTCGAGCAGGCCGGCAAGAGCTTCGAGGGCCGCGACATGACGGCGCTGCGCATCTCCAAGAACGGCGGCACCTCCGCCAGGGCCATCTTCGTGGACGCGGGCATCCACGCGCGCGAGTGGATCGCGCCGCCGGTCGCCATCTACCTCATCCAGCAGCTGACGCAGCAGGCCGAGGCCAACGACGCGCTGCTCGACGGGCTCGACTGGTACATCATGCCCCTGGTCAACCCGGACGGCTACGAGTACACCCACACCAGGGTCAGCGACGCATCCAACTAACTCTCGTATTATTATCATCACTCACACCCATTTCGGAAGTTTTAACGTGTTTTCTAAATGCAGGACCGATTCTGGCGCAAGAACCGAAGCACGCAGTCGAGTAGGTGGTGCCCGGGTACGGACGTGAACCGAAACTTCGGCTACCACTACAAGCGTGAGTTACATGTTTAAATACTAGCTCTTAATTTACTGGTTTTGCCAATTCCTTCCGCTCACTGCTCGTCCATGCGTTGTCCCAGAGGCTGGCACGAGCGACTACCCGTGCGACGAGACCTACGCCGGCCCCAAGGCTTTCTCAGAGCCGGAGGCTCGCAACTTGAGGGACTACATTCTCAAATGTCAGGAGAGGGCCAACGGCAACGTCAAGATGTACCTCACCCTGCACAGCTACGGCCCGGTGAGTCTTGGGCGCAGCAGAGACGTTTTTTGTCAACACCTTTGTCACTGGTCACTCATGCTCTCCGTGGCGTCATTGTGCAGATGATCCTCTACCCGTGGGGGTACGACTTCAACCTCCCCGACGCACCGGATAAGGATGAACTGGTGAGCATTCCATCGTACTCGGCGTTACTTGTGATTGGAAAGGAATCCCTCGGCCTCCGCGGCGGCAATGCCACTTCCCTATAGGGTACCCCGGGGCTCGGCTTAACCGGAAGGAGAAAGACGAAGGGATCTTTTGTTGTACTTCTTCCGGTCTAGCTGAGCCCCGCTCGCAGTGTGTGTGACTCTGTGTCGGCTGCCCACAGATCTCCATCGCCAACGAGGCCAACAAAGCCATCATCCGGGCGGGCTCCGAGCCTTTCGTGGTGCAGAACAGCGCAGGCCTCTGTGAGTATCAAATATACGCTCCGAACATAAACCGCAGTTATTGAAGTAGATATTCCGTACAAAGCACCGATAAAATTAACGTCCGCCAACGTCGTCCTCCCTGTAGAGAGGCAAAAAGAGAGTAGCGCTGGCTGGGCTGGGGCTTGGCCAGAGAATGGCCCATTCGTTTGTTAATGATAACTTTGTGTTGCGCAGACCCGGCGGCCGGCGCGAGTGACGACTGGTCCAAGGGGGTGGCTAACATCGCCAAGGCCTACACCATCGAGCTCCAGGGCGGCGGCTCCAACGGCTTCGACCTCCCCGCCAACCGCATCCTTGGCGTGGTGCAGCAGCTGTTCGAGGGCATGAGGGTCTTCGCGGCACGCGCCAAGCAGCTCTAGATACAACGGTTGTCGGTGACAATCTTCTATTTTCTTACAACGTTGAGGAAACGGTAAAACTCCAAGCTGTGAGCTGAGAAATTAACCCGCCGATTTTGATTTTGTGTTTCCGCATGTACCTGAGTAGTTATCACCAAGTGATAAATTTATAATAAACCAGTAGTACGTAGTATATTTTGAATTTGATCGACTGCCTTTCGCGTGGACGTTGTCGATAGATCCTCGGTTGTGGACCCGCTGGCTGTGGGTTGGGGTGGCGCGGGCATCCACCGCACAGCCGAGGGGAGCAGGGGAGAGGGGGGGGGAGGGCTTTGTGGGTACCACAAATAGCCTTGCTCGCACTGGGGCGGGGAGGAGCGTGGAGATCATAGGTCCGGAGATCACCTCACTGTGAAATTGGGCCTGCAGAGTCGTAATTAATACCACGATTGGTGTGCGCATCTATCTGTCTATCTGGCCGATGCCGATGGCGTCCACCCCCGTCTCGTCTGTGGGGGGCGGGGGTGGCGTTGCGTGATAGGGGTGGTGGTGGCGGCGGCGGCGGCGCGGCGGCCGAGCTTGACAGGCTCTGACCAAGGTGGGCGGTGTACGCTGCCGAGGCCGAGGGCCGTCAGGTGGGACGCCCCCTGCATACGAGATTCCGGCCCGGGTAGGGATTCAGAACAAATTTCACTATGATCGTGGAAAAGTTGCGGCGAGTTGCTCTCCCCTTGCCCCTTGCAGCTCTCCTCTCGCTTCTCCCGGACGCTAGCCGCCGCGGCTCCGTCCGCGCCCCCTCGCGACGGAGGGAGCCAGGCGGCCGCAGATTCTGTCAGCGATATTCGGCTTTGAAGTCCGCAAAGGAGTCCGCCGTGCTGAGTAGGCGCAACACGTCAACACGCTCCGCACCACACTCCCCAAGCGGGTCGGCGCGGGCCTAGCCCCCCCCCCCCCTTCCAGCCGTGCGTGCTAGTCCATGCGGCCGTCTCTTTTTCTCGTCAATTCGCCGACCGAACTGTACATAGTACGGAACAAAGTACCGAGAAGACAAGAAAATTAAAAACAAATTAAAATATCGCTGAATTGATTCTCCTTTTTACTTTTCCGGTAGTTTGAACAATAAGCATAGGTTGTTTATTGAAAGATTAAAACCGATTCAAACTCAAGTGCTATTGTACGAACACAGCACTGGACCGCTTGCCTGGTAGGTAGGCAAAACCGGCTAGGATGTACACGTCTGTATGGCGGGTTGGCCTACCCTACCCAGTATCAGGGGTTAAGAGGGGTCTCCTACCTACAGCACAGCATATTTGAACTTTTAATTTCAATAACCAACTATGGTAGTGTTATGTTTGCCTCATTTACCCCTTTTTTTTATAAATCAGAACATGGAATATGGTGGTGCACTGGCAAGATGTCTGTAGAATACTACACGAACAACTTTCTCATAATGAGTTCTCATACACCTACAGGTTAAAAGATTCACATGTGATTGACATGCTTTGTGTATTCAGTTGTGATGAAAAGCAAGTTGAAGGAGTCAGTGTAATCATATGTAGCCCCTAGAGTAGTGCTGTGAGCCCTCCAGCCATGTCGCTGAATTCCTGCAGTCACAAGTTAACCGGAGAGAAGCGTAATCACCATAGCTCCTAAACTAAAAGTCCATGTCGTAACACTTTCCAGGATAAATTAGAGTACCTTGAACATATTTTTTTTCATTATAAATGAT